GAGGGGGGCACCGGGCCGGGCAGCGCCAGACAAAGAGAGGGAACAGCTCGGTCCTCCCGGTGAGAAAGTTGACGTGTGCCCTCCGTGTGAAATACGTCCGGGAGCCTGCTGGGGACGTAAGGTGAGGTACGAGGGCTGAAGAGCCGCAGGAGGAAGGTAGTCGGGGCTGGGTGCCCGCGAAGCGTGCAGTGCGCTTGGGTGTTCGCCGCGGGAGGGTCGTCGGAGCGAGTCCGGCGGCAGCGCCGGGATGGGGAGCTAACGCGGTGTCCCGAGGCTGGTAGTGCATCGGGTGGTGTGTCAGAGCCGCTCCTGAGAGATTTAAACCTTCGTCTTGCGTTTTTCGTGGTGAGCTCGGAGTAAACATCACTTGAATGAAGTTCGCAGGTGGTGGTGAATGAGGTGGGTTTGTAATCACAGAGATGTTTTAATACTGGTGTATCTAGAGGAAAACTTAAAAAGTGAGCAGCTGGGAAACTGCGAAGCTCACAGAGGCCTTGGAACAGTAGTAGATGGCAAACTAGAAATGAGTTTGCAATGTGATATGACTGCAATAAAAGGTTAGTGCTATATTTGGGCAGTATAGCCACATGGTTCAGTACATTGTGGAGAAGTTAGAGGCTATACCCTTGCTGAACAATAGTTATGTGATATGATTGCATTTGGAATATGTTCAGATCTGCACTACATTTTACCAAAATGCTGCTGAAAATCTGACAGGGAGTTCAGAAGGGCTAATAAAAGCTTTTAGAATAAGTCAGTATCTTCCTTCAGCACTAAGTAAAATATACAGAGCTAGGCTAATGAAGAAGACGTAGCATAAATACTTGAGGATTGCTGCACAAAGGAAGAACCTAATTATGCGTCATGATTCTTCAAGCTGATCCGTTACTGGAATGCTCTGGGTAGGCACTGGCACCCAGAATCTTGCTACTGAGTGAATGTATTATTTGGGTTTAATGAATATGGTCTGCTGTTTGGATCATTCACTACATAAGTAGGATGACAGAAGCAGAATTTAGATATACAGAAGAAACTTCCTTTTGGTGAACAAAGAAAATTTGAAAGTCTTTTGTGGTGTTAAAAACTATACTAGAAAGACAAGTCAAGCAAGGAAATGTGTTATGGAGATGATTATGTCATTCACAGGTCTGCAGTGGATACTCTCAATTTCTAATTTATTGGATCTAGATTTTAAATCTAAAGTATTGATTATTTAGTAAGATTTATGATTATCAAGTTTGTTTGTAGGTTTACTCATAAGTAAGGATTGCATGTTGAGGCCCCAGGTGCTTTCACTCTCTCCAGTTTTACTGACTTCAGTTAGCTAAAAGAACATTTTCTTCCTTTCACTAATATTAGGCAAAAATTACCAATAATAATATTATTTATTATAACAAAGGTCTTAACATATCTTTTCAGATTTTTGTGCTGTAGTTTTTCTACTATTTTGTTATAAGAGATTATTATACTTTCTGTCATGAGACTAGTGGCCTGAAAAGGGCTCTTCATATATTGTACATGGAGGAGAACAAAAGTGGTATCTGTTGTGAGGAAGTAGTTCCACCACTTTTGTTATTTGAAATTTGGATTGGGTTTATCCTGTGTTGCTTTTTTTTTTTCTTTGTATAGTTTGCTATCATTTCTATTATTCACTAGTGTTGTATAGGTAGTTACCAGTAACCTTATTGGCCAGATTAATCATGAAGAAGAAATTAGAGGAGGTCTGAGAACAATGCCTAATTTCTGGAAACAAGCTTCTCAGAGTTGTCACCATCATCGTTCTGCCGATGCTCATGTCAGTATGTATCAATTTTTAGAAGTCTTAAAGACGGGAATTGTAGGACTGCTGGTTTCCATGGTCAGATCTTGGAACTACAGGTGACAGAGTTCAGTACCAGGGTGTGGGAGCTCAGGTACAGCGCATACAATCATACCACTTATGGAACAAAGCCTATGTGTCCCAAAGCTTTGATAATTGGATACATTTTCTTCTAGATTGAAAATGGCAACACGTTGAAAAAGGCAGATCATCTGAGCCACTCCAAACCTGTCCAGTGTAGCAAGGCAGCAGCCTCATGAATGAACCTGACACACACCCCAGCCTGCTGCTTAGCTCTACGCAGTTGTTCACTTCTGCCAGGATCTTGAAATTGGCTTCTGAAGGTGGATGGACAAAGTACACAGGCTGCTGCTTTAGTGGCTTTTTACGACTTGCTAAGGATTTCTTTTGGGAATCACTGGTCTGTGCTGATTCATTCAAGTAGCACTGCGCTGCAGTGAGAAAAGACCTAAACTGGTAAATCATCAGTCTTGGGGATCCCTGTGCCAGGCTCCATCATGTGGTACGGGCTTGCTCAAAATCTGGTTTTCAGAGGAAAGGATCACTTTTGCTACCTACAAGTGTGTTTGAAAGTACAGTTGAGAGCCTGATTCTGCCCGAAGTGCAGAACCCATTATGCAAGTAGTTTTCAAAGTAAACCTAAGCAGGCATGTGTTCATTCCTTGGCTAAAGAGTCTTGGCATCCCTTGCTACTTTGGGTCAGTGTTTGATGGAGCCCCTGTTTATGGATCTGGCAGAATGATCGTGGTGCAGCTGCCTACTCCCCTCTGCTTATTGGCAGGACACTGGAATAAGAATCCTGTCCATTATTGTTTATATTACAGTAGTGACTGGAATTCCCATTGTGCTGAACACTGTGTAAACCTGTGTTAAGTGACCGTTCCTCTCCCAACAAGGTACAACAAATGTGAAGGGATCAGGATATGAGCATACATTTTGCATAGTATGGCTATAGACACAATCTTAGGTGTTAAATCATTGGGGAGTTACCCCAGCTGACTGTTCACTGTCCTTCTACATGCGTTTTTTACAAGATTCTGTTAATATTCTCCGTTTCTCTTTAAGATACTTTTAAGTCCATATCTGTACAATAAACACATGCAGCCAGATTAGGGAACGTTATTGCAAGATCTAAGGGGGGAGATAAGAGTGTGTTAGCTGTAGCGAATAATTCTTGATATTAGAAAACAGACACAATGGCATTAGAGATTTTATGAGAAGGGTTGACAATAACTCTGCATAAGTATAGGAGAGTGAAAAATAATAGTGATGTTCTTAATTAAAATTATATTTAAAACTTTTTCTTGTAACTTCTGCATATTGAGTGTAGGGGTTTTTTGGCTTGGCATTGCAACCTAGCAATGAGCATCCTTTTGAATTTTACTATCAGTGCTGACATTCCAGAATGCTGCAGCATTAGAGGGATTTGCTGTAGGTGCACAAGGTGGCTGTGAGGATCCTAAAATTTCAGAATTTCTATAGGTTTGCCTTGTTTTGCACAAGGTTTTTGCATTTAAAATAATGTAAAGCAGATGTTGAAGAAGGAGGTTAGATATGCCTTACACATGGACAGTAAAATATTAGGATACTGTATGGTTTATTACTTTTCCAGCTAGATTTGATATCAAAAAGTAGCATTCTTTTTCTTCACAGTTAATTGAACAATAGCTCACATATCAGAGGTAGTTTAGTTTGTATAGCAAATGCTGTTACCAGGTAACAGAAGGCAAATGGAATCATTGGCCCATGTTAGCTTGGGCTTTTTATTTTACCAATATAAAAGTATAGAACTGCCTTTCAGCTAATACTGATGACTTCCTAAATATGGGAACCTGCTCCTTTGTTTAGTCGAGATGCTGGGAGGCAGCTTCATAGGCATAATTGTTTAGAAAGTCTTGCGGACCTGCTTGTTGGTACTGGTAAGTGAAGAAACATAGTCCAGCAATGCTGTAAGACAAACAAGCCGTTGTCTAAAGTATTGATTGGATTCTTATCTCCTGTCCTGGAAAAATACTGCAAATGCACTTGCTGATTTCTTTTCAGAGGATGCCTAAGGAGAAGTTGAGAATGAGTTGGAAGATAGAAAACAATGTTATTCCACCTCATACTATTTTATCAGCGTGGTGCTTTTCCGTAGAGGACCTATGTTTGTTTTCTAGGAAAGTTACTTTGTAAAATTCTTCAAAGTTCAGGGTAATGACTAAGACAAAAATTTCTTAGTGAGTAATAGATCTTCACTTGATTCCAGTTTAAATCTAAGTTAAATTAATCCTGAAGCTTGTTGAAAAGTCTGTAGGAAAACATTTTTCTATTTACAGAAATTGATAATAGCCTTCTGTGTATTCAATTTTTTTTAACTACTACGGGGTTTTTTTATTGCTGAACTTTTTAATGATCCTTTATCTCTCTCTCTAGTGGTATGTCTGCAACACAGAACAGTTGTCGGAATCCCTTCAGCCTATTTTTGTCCAGAGTTATCTTGACCAAGGAACACAGATCTTCTTAAACAACAGCATTGAGAAATCAGGCTGGCTGTTTATCCAGCTCTATCACTCTTTTGTGTCCTCAATTTTTAGCCTCTTTATGTCTAGAACGTCTATCAATGGGTAAGTGACAAGTCAATCTTAGGCAAACTAAATACAGTTTGGATTCAGTGTTCAGCCCTACCCCTTGATCTGTCAGCTTTTCTTAAATTTGTAGTTTTCCCTTTGCTAGTCTAACAGATATGAAATGCCCTATTGTGTGCTCTTAATGCCCAGCCCTCTTAATTGAAGAACACCATTTCCAGTATGGGGGGACAGAGAAGGTAATTGCAATTAATAAGAGATAGTTGGAGAACTCTAATTGTATTTTATAACCATTACTTGTATTGATTTCCTTCTGAATAAGAGAGTGTTCTCTTTGTGTTAGACAATGTATCCTTCCCTCTGCTTTCTTTCCGTCCTCATCTTGCCCATTACTGTACCTGCTGCCATATCACTGTTGTGATTGTCCTTGTCGAAGGAGGCTGTATCCAGTCAGTTCTGTATTGCATTTAAAACTCTTTCTAGTAGAGAGTGTGCACGTACCCACTGCAAACCTAGGCAGATTTCTCAACAGTGCAGAAGTTGGCCGAGTATTCTGTCTGGTAACACTAACGTGGGACAGAATTTTGTCCTTTCTCTCTTATTCTGTAAAACTTAATTTCACCTCAATTTGTGTGTAAGCTGTACTTGAACAGGTAGCTTCTGATGTAGCATGTTTGATTGATGAAACATCAGGAAGGCAGGAAAAGAGATGTTTATAAAACAATATTCTCCTAATCTTACTGCATTATCTCTTCCGCGGCTGCAGGGGAGTTTAGCGGTTCGTGGGTGCTTTAGTATTTTTTTCAAAAAAAGTCAGTGCCTTTTTTTTTGGTCACATCACCCCATTCAGATGTATGTTTAATAGGCTATTGGTTTTGACCTTATGAAGAATGCATTTTGCTACATTTACCCGATTTCTTCACATTCCCCACCTCTGCACCTACTACATGCTTCTGCACAGGTTGATATGAGGATAGTAGCTGTCTGCTAAGGCTTGAAAAATAATCTTTTTCCTTATTTTCTAACCACATGACTTTATGAGCTTCCCTGTGGTGTCTTAGTTACTTGTAGCTTCATATAAAGGTTCCTTTGGTCTCCTCTTCCTTTCTCTTCCATTTTTTTTTTTTTTTTTCAAAGGGTCTCCAGTGCTTTGAATAACACCTCACACCTTATGCAGGAATAATAGCTGTGAGCCAATTATACAGTGTGGACTGACACAAGTGTGCTGTGAGGGGGCTCTACTTAAATTGGCTGTATTCTGTTTATTTTTATACATTTAATGTCCTGCTTTAGTTTCTTCTATATGACTTTGTATTCTCTGTCCTTTTTGTTTGCTTGTTTCTTTCTTTGTAGTACAGTCAGTCTTTCCTAGGCCACCTCCTTTTCACATTTTTTTTTAATTCTTTGATTCTTTTTATCTTTGTTTACCTTTTCTTTCCCCTTGAACATAAGAGATTTCTGCTCATTGAGTTTAACCTGCTATCCAACATTAGTTTAAAGAATAGCATTTATCTACCTTCAACCTATTACTGACCAGTTCTTTTTCCTCTGCTTGTTCTCTTAACTCTTTCATCTTCTGAATTCTGCTATGACAGCTGAAATCTGTCACTATGTAGTCTTCAAACAGTTACGGGCGAGTATGTCATTGACTTGATCCATAAGGAATCCAACTGTCACCTCTACCCAATTCCTTAATAAGTTGCCTATTTTCTCTTCCACAGCTCTTCATGTTGAATGCAGGATCTGCAGATAGCAGCAAAGCCATTGTACCATACAATTAAAAAAATATCTTTTGCCGCTCCAGCAGTGTTACCCCCATCCTTTCTTTAAATCTGTTCCCTGGCTTCCCTCCTCGTTCCAGATCCTATTCCTCATTCATTGTGCATACTTCTCTGTCTGCAGCCATTTTATCTCCTCTGCTATTTCTTTTTTTTTTTTTTTAAGGTAGGTGGCAGAGATTCAAATGTGCAAATGTGACAAATAAGGTTCAGCCTTTATCTTTCTCTCTCTTCCTCTCCCCCCTCTTTTTTTTTTTTCCTTATGCAATCATTTTCTTGAGCTGCACCCCATGAGCTCTTCCTTACCTAATCAAATTCCCCCTGAAGTCTTAACCACTGTAACTGCATGTGGCTATGTGTTTGATCTCTGACAAGTGCAAGGCAAGTTGAACTGGGTTTAAAATTTATCTGAGCAGTGACCTTGTCTACTATTATGTGTGACTGGTTGCTGCCAAAGCAGGTTCTAAATTACTCTATAGTCCTTCCTCTTAAAGTGTGTACAAAATTGGTCATTTCTCATTTTTACGTTTCAGGCTGCTGGGAAGGGGCTCAATGTTTGTGTTTTCCCCAGAACAATTTCAAAGACTGCTTAAAATAAATCCAGAATGGAAATCCCACAGACTTCTCGATTTAGGGGCTGGGGATGGAGAAGTCACAAAAGTAATGAGTCCTCACTTTGAAGAAATCTATGCCACTGAATTGTCTGAAACTATGATATGGCAGCTTCAGAAGAAGAAATACAGGTATTGTACTGAATACTTCCTACATTGTTTATATCAGGCATTACAGCAAAGTAATCTATTTGTAATATTTAATGAATGTTCAGTATTTTCAGTCAATTCCTCTATTATTGGATGGTTATGAAAAAGGTTAACCTGTACAAAAGCAGGAAAACAAACACACCTGATGTTCCCTCTTACCAGTGCTTTTCTTATGCAGATGTTACTTGTTACCAGTTAAGACAAAACAGTCAATGACCATTTTGTAGTGTCTTTGTTCATAGCTTGTGTAAATTCCTTTAATCAAGGGAGTCAGGAAGATGAAATTCAGATGAACAGTCTAACTGAACAGTCAAAAATTGCAAAAGGAGTACTGCAGAGAAAGCAAACTGCATCCTGGTAATAGGGATGCCTCAATAATCTGTGTCTATCTAATCCCAAAGTATAGACAACTGTGTAAAGATTCTTTTATTCTTGCTATGCTTAGCTCCTGCTGCTAAGATTGAATAATATTTGGTAACAAAAACCTCAGCACTTTCAGAACTTTGTTCACGTGCTTGTCACAGCTCCTGGAGGTTCTTGCAGACAGCAGATCCAGTCTTGTTGAGTAATGGTTAGTATTTCAGGTACTATATCACTAGACTTCAGCCTAAAGAATGAAGGAACTGTGGATTTCTTTTCTTCACCTGTCTTTGAGTGGAAACATAACAACTGCTTTGCAGTCCGGGTTTGCACACTGGTAAATCAGAGTGGATAGAATGCAGCAAGCCATTAATTATATTTCAGCTTCGTTGTTCATTGAGAAGTGTCTTCGGTTTCATTCTAGGACAACACATTTTGTAATACCTGGGGTTTTGGGTTTTGTCTCCTTTATTGCCTGATGATTGCAAGGCAATATAAAGGTTCATATGGCTGTATATATAGCCATGCCCATTGTTGATTTAGTTTTCCAAAAGACTGGAAGGATCATGTCTGTCTCTTCTCATTGCCTAGGTGGCTGACCTTAGCTGCACTATCAACACATCCATAGGGAATTTCTGTCTTCGGTGGTTCTCTCTGAACTCAGCTTGTGTTTGTTTAACAGACTGTATCTCTTTCTCTTTGTAGGGTGCTTGGTATAAATGAATGGCAAAACACAGGATTTCAGTATGATGTTATCAGCTGTTTGAATTTGCTGGATCGCTGTGATCAACCACTGACTGTATTAAAAGATATTAGAAGTGTACTGGAGCCAACTAGAGGCAGAGTCATTCTGGCATTAGTTCTGCCATTTCACCCATATGTGGAAAATGGTAAGTACACAGATTAATAGCTATTTAGGCAGGTAAAGAAAATGTTTCTAGGTTATAGCATCCCGAATGAAATGTTTAATAAATAATTGGCATGTTTGTATTTGACTTTTACAAATAACTCGTACAGTGCATGTTCAGAAGTATGAAATCCTAGGTAAATAGGCTACATGATGTAAGCTGTTTTCTTAATTCCCCAACACACGTTGGCACCAACAAAAAGCTCAAATATTGAAGTCACATATCCTGTTCTGCCGGTTGCCACATTTGAGCTGTGTTGGAGCAACATGGGAAAACTGATCTCTGATTAGGGCCCTCTGCTGCTGTCATATAGGTAACTCCAGTTGTCTCAAGCAACCATTGAGCAAAACCATCAGAACTGTCTGTAATGCTGAATAGAACAGTTTAGGGCAAACTGTTTCAAGTGGTCCAGATGAACCGCACCTAAAAATTCATAGGGAGATAACGTTCACTTTCCAATATGAGCTCTCAAAAGAAAATATAGACCCCTACTAATACAAAGTGTCAACTGCTATTTATATTGTGTTAGTAACTGGAATAAAAAAGTAAAATTCAGTGCCAAAACTCCATTATTTCCCCTAGTTGCATTTTAAAGAAATACATGAGAGACTTTCAGATTAATCTGTCCTTATGGCTAAACTTCAAAAGAGACTAGAAATTTTTTTTGCATGCCTATGATTGTGGATTTAGGTTGAGGCACCCTAAAGGTGGTTTGAATTCCAGAAGGCTGGTGTTCATCAGTCATCATTTGGACACTGGCTCTCCTCAAATATTAAGACTTGTCTGCGGAAAGGCATGTATGCCCAGAAAATACAGAACTGATAACCTTAACATTCTGGTAGTCACAAATGCATCAAACTGAATCTGTTTTCCTCTTTTTGTATGTCAGTGGTACTCTGGTGGGAGGAGAGGAAAAGTTTTAAGTATGAAAAATAATGCCATCAGATGAAGAATTGCTTAAAATACAGTATTTGAGCATATAATTCTGTAACTATTCTGAAAAGTAGTGTGTCTTATATGAGATGGGGGGGTGACTTGCACATCTGTACAGTATTTCAGCCATATTTGGTTACAACTTATTCTTCCTATAAGGTGAAACAATATGGCTTCCTCTTTTAAAAATTCATTAAAATTCCAAATAACAGCAGTGTCTTTTAATGGTATAGTAGAAGCAGAAATAGAGAAATTATTTGGGTGATGTTTTTGTTTGTGTGCCTTCAAAACTGTGTGCCATTGTCTTTTGCAATCACTATTGTACGCAGCATCTACTTTTCTGCCTGTTGTTGGGTAACCACATGACAGACCACATGCAACTTCCTGGCTCAATGGGAGGTAGACAAATTAAGGAAGAAACTACTCGGAGTATGCTTATATCCTTCATCGTTAATCTCTTACAGTATACTGTGAGGGGAATAACGTGTTAAATTTACAAATCCCAAGGGACTCCAGACCTGTTCTGTGATTGTTGAACGTGGCCATTCCTACTTGTGGAAAGTTGAAATCTGTTGCAAGGTGTCTTGTAAACCAAATTCATACTTTTGTTTGTGGTAGTGACTTGTAGCAGAGTAGTCACTTTGATTAAGGCAGTTCTGTTTCCTTACTGTGTTCGAAACTTAAAAACATACTCAGTTTGTCTGTTTACCCCTATCATGGATATGGGTCCATATAAACTTCTTTAGACAATGCAAGTTAGCACACACAAAAGTTACTCTCATTCCACTGAAGATTTCCTACTTAAAAACTATTTAACTGTAGTTTAAAGAAATAGACAATGAACCGCCAGGCTGTCTTCGTGATGTGCAAATGATTTTAGAATTTCAGTATTTTCATTCAGCTGTTCTACAAGACTATGCAATTTAAAAAGTGTTAGATTTGTACATATCCTTTATATTTAACAAAACAAAATATATGTGGAACATTCAAAGAGAACGTTTCATGGCTCAAGTAAGTTCAGCTAATTAAAAGCAATTTGGACCCACCTAGAGAAACTTTTGAATTTTAGAGGAGGGAACAAATGGAGAAGAGATGAGGCAGGTGTTTGATCAGTGTAGAGATCATTTTCTAGAAATGCAGAAATTATTTTAATCAAAATGATATATTTGGATTATTACAGGTAATGTAATGGGAGGGTAATTGCAGAAACTGTCTAAGTGAATAACATAAAACTTGCTTTAAGAGAACAAAGCAAGGTGGAGGAGGAGGTGAAATAATATCTCTGTGCTTACTATTTGTGGAATTACAGTGACACCTAGAGTCCAAAGTAGCTTAATCATAAATTCTTTCTGGGGCTTTTCAGAGTTTTATTTTCAACATACAGAACAACAAGTAATGCACTTACTTGCCAAATTTAGACATGGCAATAAGCTGTATGAATCATAGGGTATTGGACTAGTCACGTAAGAACATGTATTATTATAACTTTGTATTTTTAATAGGTATCCCATGGGGTTATGTAAAAATACTTTGTATTTCCTAATATAGACATTGTATTTACATAAAGGCATTATTAGATAATATATGACTAGACTGGTTTAAGTTTCTATAAAATAAAAATGTCAGAGACACCATACTTCAGAAGTAGTAAACACTAGCAGCCTGGGATTGTGAAATTTTCTGGTTGAACACATTGATGTCCTTGTGATTGATTGGCAGGGTTAAGAAGAGAAAGGTGTGATTTCCATCTTCCTGAAATACTTGGTACTAAATTGAGCTGGAAACACAGTACTGTGCTAGATGGACTCTTGCTTTGTCTCATTTGTCAGCTCTCATCTCACTGAAGTGATAAATGCCTTTTCATTTTTTAAACAAAGCCTTGCTTTATTTAAATGATGATAAAAGGTGCAGCTGTTCTTTAGTAGGGAGAATGCCTGATTTCTGTAGATTGACTGGGTACTTTAAAAAAAAAAAAAAAAAAAAAACACAAAACTACCTTGAGTAGGTAGTATGCTTCAGTGTTCATGCTTGTATCCATGTTGAACGAGCATGTAAAGGCAAAACTTGGTGCTCCAGGTAATACTTACTTTGGATGGTAGGACTAGAAGATGGGGGTTGTCTGTCTAGCAAGTGAATTTTATTTTTGCAGGAGCAGCCTCCTCACTATGACCACTACTTTCCTCTCCTAAATAGGCTAGAAAGAAGCTCCCATCCCAAATGAGCTTTACCATGATAGCACATCCATTTATATTGTCTTTTTTTTCTGCCTGCCTGTCTACAGAATACATAGGTTTTGCTCTGTTTAAGTCATTGTTAAGATTCAGTAATTGTTGATCTGTGTGTATATCTGTTACATTGATAACTATCACATTAACATGACTAAACCCAGAGTTTCACCTATGAAATGAATTTATTTTCTGTTGCTTTCAATTATCATACATCTTTCACAAATGCTCGATTCATGTAAAAGGAATACATGTAAATTTATGTAAAAAGACAAAAAGACATAGAATTAAATCTAAACTGCAAAAGGAAACTTTTATGAAGCATTAACAGTTATCTTATGAAAGATGAAGTCTTTTCCCATGGTTCTTATTCTTCCAGAACGGAAAAATGGAAGTAATATATAACATAGATGTAACGTACAATGCACTTGGTTTTGGTGATCTGTTTAGAAAATACTCTCGAAGAACACTGCCCTGCAAGGTTTTCTCCTCTCTTTTTAAAGCAAAGGAAGTCTGTGAGGAAGGTGAACTTCTTCATCTGCCCCTTTGCTTGCATGAGAAATATTGAACAAATCTGAACTGCTGCATATGGTCATCTGTTCTGATAAACATTGTCATCTTCCAAATCATCCTAGGGGAAAAATGTAGAAGTATTTCATTACTTATGTGGACTTTTTGTTTTTATAAAGGCAGAATTTCCTTTTTGAGGCAAACTCCATCCCTTTACTGTTTCAGTAAACTCCTTTTGCCCCACTTATCCAGTTGCTTTTGTCTGTGTGGCATCTACAGGATTCAAAACATATTTCTTTTTCTCTTGGCTTTTCCTAATCTCCAGGGAGCACAGAGGCAGTAAACCATACCCCTTATTTTCACTGTGTTCATATCTGAAGCTCAAACAAAGGACGAGGTCATGTCAGCAGGGGCTTGAAGTCTTTAAAGGGGTAATTACAGAGGAAAACAATTGGGGCCGTATGGAAATAAATGAAGTAAAAATGTAAAGAGGAGAAATGGTTTGACTTCGAAGGTTTGACTTCATGTTCTATATTTCTTTTGGTTTCTCCTTGCATCTCTGGTGTGTTCCATACTCAGAATAGGAAAGAATGTATACTGTTCCTCAAGAGAAGCAACGCTTCTGAAGCAGGATTTTGAATCCTTTTCCTTTGCTTGCAACTACATGTGACTTCTAAAGGGGTTTTTTGGTAACTTACATGGCACGTGCAAAATTAATGTCATATGGTCACGTAAGACTTACTGGTATACATTTGGAACGATGAAACAAGTTGTGTGGCTTTACCCAGTGATGCTGAATGTTTAGTTTAAGCTCTGTAAGTTGAAGGAGGGGGAAATATCTGTATGAATGTTGTAGAGCTTTTGTAACAGTTTTGTTAAGTTTCTGTCACCTAGCTACCCTGGGCTAAGAGAGCAAGAGGAACTACAATATAAACATTTTTCAATAATGAACTGTTAATACTTTTATGTGTTTTACCAAACAGTCCAGAACCAGTTGTTGAGATCTCTTCTTGGCAAAATACAAATTTATGGAAGCTTCATTTTTAAATGTACATACATACATTATATAAGGTATATACTGTCCTATAATATCAGTTGTATATGTATGGTCATTTAGAATGCTTTATAATGTCTTTAACTGTTGTGCAGAATACTTTTTTTTAGACCATTATCAACTTTAAAAAAGAAAAATCTATTTCTAGAGGAAATAGAAATAGTATACTCTTGAAAATTGTTAGTTCCTCTTTTTCCCCATAAATTTCAGTTTTGGTAGACAGATACTTACAGGCTGTTGGTAACGTTCAGCATACTTCTGCTTTTGAAGTTCTTGGGCAATTGCTTGAAAAATTTTTCGTCCGCTATTGATTTTCTGTAAATTATTTAAAATATTTTAGGTCAGTGCTACATTTTAAGTTGGGAGAAACATCTTTTTCTACCTTTTATAATTCTGTCTTTTTTCCTGTGTATGTCTTTGGGAATGTTACTAAATAACACTTTAAGAACATACAGTTCAGCAG